CGAACGCCTGGAGCAGCTCTGGGAACACCGGAGCTAGAGATATTAGACATGCCGTCTTGGTATATCTTAGCTAGAGAGAGCAACGAATTGCTGGTAGTGGAGATGGCGGCCTTTCGTGCCAGACCTTCTGGCACATATTTGATCCCCGGGGGTGTTCCGCAGGGAGCAAAGACCAGCTTTGCGGTCTGCAGAGCATGGTCTGGATACAGGAGAATGGTCTCCTGCTGCCCACGCTGCTCTGGGCCGGGGTAACCGTGATGCGTACCCTGCGTGAAGGCCGAGAATACCTGTTTGATCAGGCTTTGGATCCCATGGCGCCTTCTTCCAGCTGCAATCAGAATCGCATCCTCAAAGGCCACGGCAGCTGCAGCATTGTCGCCCAGAGCATATAGCATGTTTCCCTTGGCGTGGACGAGAGCCAGCATTCTGCCATTATCACAGCCAGGTATGGCGTAGCCGCTGGAACCAAATCCAGCTGACCCAACATCTGCCGAGCCCCGATTTGCGGCAACCGACCTACCAAAGTCGTCATCGTAATCAAAGGACGCTTTCTCGTAGGAACCCAGATCGGACGCACTCGACGCTCTGCTCTCCGCATCGCTCTCGGGTTCACTCGCGTGTTCGTCGGACGTGAAACAATCGCCGTTCTTAGGGGAGCGTATGGAATTCTGTACGAACTCAATGATGTTGACTGCTTCCTTGCCGCGTTGGCTGCTGCACAAAAGACCGATCAGGTGTTCTACCGCTTCAAAGAAACTCGGGCGGAGCTTGACGGCACGAAGCCAATGTTGCAGCGCCTCTTCTCGGCGATCCAGCGCCAGGAGCGTGGCCGCAAGGTTGGATATCGCCTCCACATGCCTGTGCTTGGTTAGACAACTCAGCTACTTACAGACAATAGCATACTCACGTTGCATCTCGAGCGATGATTCTAGTATACCAACGCATGGCCTTATGATAATCCCCAAGCCCATAAGCGAGACAGCCTCCAAGAAGCATGCCATCAATCCACTCCCAACTACTTTCCGCACAGAGATGGGATAACATCTCCAAAGAGGATACAGCATTCGCTGTGATAGAACCCTCGTTCAACGGTGCGGCACCGAAACGAGCCGTTGCCGTTGATGCAGTAAACCGTCCAGTGTGGCGGAGCCGGTCGAGCATCTGTACATCGGTTGCAGCTTGCGGGAACTGAGACAGTGAAGCACGTTCATACCGACGGCCAGTTTGAAAGCTGGCAGTATCGTTCTGGCCTATGTTGCCAATGGTGTTGTTCCTCTGAACATGGTCATACTGGCTCGTAGAGTAGTTATTGTGACGACTCGATTCAAGAGCATTGGTGCTGGAAAAATCCAGACCAGGCTGACGCGGTGGTTTCGGGTATATACTTGGTTTCAAGAATCGCTGACTCTGTCCCTCAGCAGCCGCATTCGAGATACTATTCCGTCGTGCTTGGTGAATCGATGCCAGTAGGTCAACGTAAACACCATGAGCCCATGTCAGCACCTTCTCCTTAAACTCCACATTTGTTGCCTGTGGGCTTGCGGTAGAGCCCAGTTGGGGCCCTTGAGTACTTGGAGGGCCCGACCAAGACGGACCTGTCTCGTGAGCCGGTTGATGCGAGAAGCCAGGGGTAGGATTAGGTTGGCGCGTATGATACGGCAATGTCCGCTGGCCGCTTGAAAGACCAGCAACTTTGTGCTCCGAATGACGTCGAGGAAAGTTGTTTTTCATGGACAACTCAGAGTTGACCATTCCAGCAGGGGCCTGATTCCACGCCAGGCCCGGGTCGGGATGACTTCCCGAGGATATAGCGCCCCGGCTGAAGGCCTGTTGGCCTGCGTCGAATAATTGAAGGGCGGGTGGGTTCGTCGCCTTTGCAAAAGGAGTGGGCGAGTCGAACCGGGCATCTCGAAACGCCGCTGGGCGATACGGAATATACACACCATCAGGCCAATATGGACCGTATGGTCCTGTCCCTGCCGATGCGGTGGGACCGACACAGGGCTGAAGTGTCGCTGGTAGAACCGTGGGAACATAGGCGCCATTGTGCCAATAAAATCGCTGCTGCGAAGGCTGCATTGGAAGTGATTGATTCAGCATGGAGTCCATTCCTGGAACATAGTTCAATGAACGAACCCAGCTGGTGCCATTCACTCCTTGTGTCAACTCTGCTGGGCCTGCATTAGTTCGGCTCGAATCATTTCGATATACCGGCGGGAAATTCAGGTGCTTTCCGGCCGAAGACTGATCCAGATTGGCCTGTTGCCAAGTCTCCATTGGGAATCCTGTATGAGGCGGTATCAGGTGGCCCGAATCGATCGGCGAGACCAAGAGGTGCTTGCTCGCGGGCTGAAGGGTAGTATCCCCTGGTGTGCCATCATACCCAGCCGCCAGTGTCCCGTTCGGTGTTTTCCTTCGTAATGCATGCTCGCCAGCACTCTTCGGACTAGGTACCAGACCCGTGGCATCGGGTACCTCGAGGCGTTGTATAGGATGCGGATATTGCAGCGGAGATCGAGCTACGGACTGGAACGAGCCTTTGCCGAAATCGCTGCGGGGGAGTGACGTGAGAAATGATGTATTGCGGTCGTAAGGTCCATTTGTAGCGTCGGCACCGTGCCGATAAGTAAGGTGGTGCGGCTGGACTGGCGGGAACGGTGCTACTGAGGGCAACATCTTGACCTCAATCAGTGTGAGCACCGTCTTCTTCCGCCGTGATTATATAAATATATGCAAAATCAAGGTCGAAAGTCGGAGAAAGAGGGGAGAAAAGAAAGAAAGAGAGTGAGAGAGAGAGGGGGGGAGAGGGGGAGACCGCGACGGAGACGTATAGGGACTCGGATTGTCGAGTAAAGGGAAAAGCAATGCAGGGATCTCGTCGAGGCGGTTCGGGGCGATCGAATCAGACAGCGATGGTCGACGGGGTTATCAATCTCGATGTATTATCAACAAACATCCTCCTTGAAACGTTTCCTACACCTCATCCTGGGCATGAGCCGGCTCAGTTGACACTCAGCGAAGGCGCCCACCGCTTGACCCTGGGCTCGACATGAACGCTGATTGTGGCCGGCAATGACAGAAGACGCAAGTGCGGGAGCGGCGAAAGTGATGAAGGAGGAGGAAGAGGAGGAAAGGAAATCGAATGGAGGCTGAGTCCGGGGCGAAGATACCATTCACGAAGCCGCTGGATTCCAGAAGATCAAAGAGACACGCAGGCGATCCGCTCCGACAACGCTATTTGCTGCGTGAGAGACAGGTGGGTGAAGAAACGATGCAAGGGAGGGAAAGGGATCGATGAGAGAGAATCACAGCCCTAGTCAGCTTGCTAGAGCGCCCACACTGACGCAGGTGTCCGCACGACGCGATCAACCACTAGGCAATCCTGCGCTTGGCAGAAATGCTGTACTTTGGGGGGTGGTGTGAGTGGAGTGCGAAAGAGGGGGAAAGGGAAAATGGGAAAAAGAGAGTGACCGGCAGGTAGGCTGACCGAGTAAACGGGTGTTTAGTTAAAGGATAGGATAATGGCTAACGCAAGTGTGGTAGGGAAAGAATAGGAAGAATTGGCAAGATGAATAGAGAGGGAGGATTAAAGAGCCCGGGGACCCAGATCTGCCCCGATGTCACGACCGACGAAATCCGAATCAGGGAAACGATAGTGTAGGGGAAAGGTTGAACATGGCACCACTAGCTGATGGCAATCACAACAAACTTAGTGTGTCGGGATGTTTCTCTGTCCTCTTGTCTTTTGATATGGGGAAGAGGAAAAATAAATTAATGATTTTTTGTTTTTCTTTTCCTCTTTTCTTTTTTTTCTTTTCGTGTCTTAGTATTCTCGTCTTTTGACGATCTCTTTTTTCCCTCACGGGATGGGGAAGAGCTGATTGGACCGAAGTACTCCAAACTGTGATGCCTCAGATCCAAGGCACCGCAGGGCTGGCTGTTCAAAGCGGAGAAGATTCAACGGCGGGCGGAGAGGTCAACAATCAACAGGGGAATAATATGAGAAACAGGCGCATGGAAACGCTGATGATTCCCCGAAGAGATTGAGAAGAAAAAAATAGTTGAGTCCGGGGTAGGACTGGCCAAGACCGTGAAGAAAGAAAGAGAGAAACAGAGGTATGCGACCAACGGGAGGGAAAATGAAAGAAAAGGATAAAAAAAATTCGATAAGGAATTCCGATTGAGGTGGAAGAAGATGGAATTGAAGCCTTGAAGGGGAAAAATAAAAAATAAAAAAAATTAAAAAAGGCCAACTACTTTACTTACTTGCACAGAAGATATCCATACGGGCACTGAGCTACTACGAACTAACTCACTAATGTAGCAGACAAAGAGTCATCGACGAGCCAGAGTCTCCATCAAGCGGGACGCGCATCATGACAGAGCGGAGCTTCCTAAACGCAAGCAGTGGGCGGCGGCAGCCTATAGCTCCCGTTTTGTTCTAGGGTGGTTCCTTTTTTGGGGTGGGGGGAGGGCAGCCTGAGTGGGTTCTGAGGATGGACCAGCGGGAGTGGAGCCAATAGGCGCTGGCCTGGACCAGGGTGGAGTGGAGAGGAGGTTACTGAGTTGGGACGCGGGTGGGTTTGGGCGTCCAGGTTGATTACTTGGTGGTGGCTTGGGACCAAATGAGAAGAGAGGAAGGGAGGGGGAAGGGAAATGAAAAGCAGAAAAAAAAATCATGAAATTCACAAGGAAAAGGAAAATAATTCATATATCATGTAGAAATAACGAAGAGAAGAAAAAATAAAATAGAAAGGTACATGCATATAAGTATAAACGTCATAATCTGTGCAAATTGTTTTACTCTGAGCGGATACTACTACGGTGTACTTAACTACCTTACTTATTGATGACCCCTCTGTAGGTACAGTACCAAATTAATGCGGAAAATTTGGTAAGTGGCACAAAGGTATAACACGCGGTGGCTTGAAAGGGTTGTGTTGCCTCAAAACGCAGATATGCGACCGTTCCAAGGGAGAGCAAGAAATCCTCCCAAATCCTCAACCTAAATAATTATAATAACTAAGAATCATTTCTTCCCTTTCCCTCAACCCCCACCTGAAAACCGCGAAACAAGGGAAACACGAACATCCATCACATTTCAGTCCCACCCGAGGATACTACGATCCAACGGCCAGGATGGACCGGCGCTAGCCACTTGGGTGCAGGCAACGAATCCAGGCCTTTCTAACGTCAGTGGACCAGCAGCCATGGCCCCCCCGGTCGCAAGTGGCGCCCGCAGTGGTCAAGCCTTGGGGCCTTGGGGGCCTCTTGGAAGTTGGAGTTTGGGAGGGTTTGTTTGGTGAGCGCGGAAGGGCGATCTGGCACCTTCGGTGGGTTCGAGTGGAGTCCGTCAAGGATTGGCCTGCGAGTTGGCCTTGGATGGGTGGAATGAAATTAGAAAAGGTGGGTTTCATAATTTTGAGATTTAAATGAAAAATCAATCAATAATGTGATTATCTTATAAGTATCATATTACTACTTTGTATATCCGGAGTATATATAGTATATAAAGGAGAGTTTTATTGGTATGTTATATCGATATTGATTACGTAACCCATTCTACTTACAAGCAGTGCCGATTAATATGTAGGGATATTATCTTAGAAGACTTGTCAACTAAGTTAGTAAGTATTAGTCAAATAGGAGAATTTCGCAAGGAAAAGAAGCAAGATTGAATTAGCAGTATCCATCCGATGTACTAGCAAGTAGTAGTAGTAGTAGAAGTCGTATACATCGCCGCGAGGCTGAGACACCTGGCCACAAGCCCAAGGTCAGCATCATTCTGCAGCCCTGGAGGCATCCAGAGGCTGAAAACAAAATCCCAACTTAGACGCATGCCGCGTCCGATCAGGTGGAAAAGATGGCCGAATCAATGCCATAGGATAGATTTCTCAGGTATGTCAATATGTATGAGAAGTATGCACTATGTGGTACAGAGTGCGGTGTTGTTATAAAGGAGATGATTGTCGACGGAATCCTGATAGGCCGCCTTCCCTCTTGTGACAGCAACTGCTGAGCGTTTTCTGTAGTCGCTTTGATCCGTGCCTAAATGTGATTATTAGCCAATCCATATTTCCCCTACACACCATACATCAGAAGTTATCGTAAATATGATTTGAAGATGTCAGATATTCATGTCATTCATCAGGCCTCCCCTTCCCCATTCTGTAACCAACAACATCAACACAACAAACAACAACAACATGCTGCATTATTATTATACTTTCGAAATCCCACCCTTCTCCCCTTTCTCCCCAAATTAATTTTTCCCCCGGGCGTAACTCAAAATCTAGGTCTCGGGAATGGAGGAGGGATCCATGAAACCTGCCTTAGTTTCAAGCCCCCCGTTTCCTGTATCCCATCCACTCAGACAAGACCATTCCAGCCATCGTCTTTGACCACAGATCTAAGTGTTACCGAAGTTTCCAAGTTTTCACCCTTCCCTTCCCCTCTGTGCTATCCCAACGGTACGGTCATCTCCGTCGTCCGTCCAGACTGGACACAGTAATTAGAAAACAATGTAAAAAGCAGATACTTTTTTAGTAAGTAGGAACGGGAATCAACGAGGGGCAGCGGGACCGGGGCCGCCCTGGAAGTCCCAAAAAGATTTAATTTAATTATAATAATAAAAGAAGAGTAGGCTGTGATAATCCATGGGCCATGTCACGAGCGGTCTGGCGATGAGGATCGGCAAACTTTGCTGCGCTGTGGCTCTTCCTGCCTCTCCACTCCCTAGGCGCTTAGAAGAGGGGGGTTTTCTGGTCTGTCTAGAGGATAGTTGTACAGTAAGTAAGTACACTTTGTAGTAGTAGTAGTAGTAGTAGTCTAGACTAACTAGCTAGGAGGAAGGAGAGGAGAGAAAAGGAGGGGGAAAGAGAAATAGAACTGGCCAAAGTCAAAGTTCATTTATCTTCTCCTTCTCGTGGCCGTTGTTTTAATAATATCTAAATCTCTTTCGCTATAGATACTTAGGAGGTATCTCCGTTACTTGCTAGTTAAGTTAGCATTATACATAGCCAAATCCATCCAATTCGTACGGAGGCGGAATCGAACACATCCACCACCCACCCCATCAATCCTCCCGCCATGTTTCACTTCTCCCAAAAGGACACTGCATTCTTACTTCATTCCATCATGCTGAGCTGGCCACAAAAGTAAAAAAAAGGACTGATGATGATCACGGCCTGAACCTGACTGCCTGCCTGGCTGACTCAGCCACGATTGTGAGTCACGAGAAAAAAGATAACTTTTCATTCCATCAACTCAACTAAAGTGGGATGGATGCAGTCTTATGCATGTCGGTGCGCCTGTCTGTGCCTATCACAACAACAACTTGCATTCTGAGTCGCAGTCATCGCCCCTTCTGATGGAGACACTTACTTGCCCCATCGTGGACTACCTCTCTTTTCATTGTCCACTCACTCCCTCACTCATTCATTTGTTCATTCTTTGATCATCTTCTCTTTCTGCCTATGGACGGAGTACCGTTACCCGGGATCGGTTTTCGTTAAAGGAAGGGAGGGGGGGGGGGAGAAGGAGGAGGGCCCAGGCGGCACCTGCAGCTCCGGGCGCGTATCAGGAACGCCGCCAATTGAACCATCCCAGTAGTTAGTGGCACTGTACTTGAAAGTCCCCGGTGAGTGGGGAAAGCTCATGGAATCTTCGGGCTCTCGGTGTGTCCGGGCGCGGCCCCATCCGATTCCCAGCCTACGTAGATAGTTGTTGCTGTTGCTGTTTGGCGACTGTCGATGCTTCACTACAATTTTATGCATGGAGTGGACTATTAGATGGGGCGTAGGTATCCATCCGTCAGGCGCGAGACGGCAATAGTTGTGGCTAGTATGTGCATGGGAGGTGCCGATCGTTCAGTCGGTAGTACTTGTGGATCGATATAATCACGCGGTCTTTATGGGTTTGATGGAATTGCCGAGGCATGGTGGGTATACGAAACTTGAAAGATTGGAAAGGAGTAAATTGCATTGTTTGAATTGATTTGATTGTCTACGATCATCAGACATGTGAACATATCTGGGTCTAAGGGAGTGATTTTGACCGTTAAATGGACCACTGTATCCACAGAAAGAAGCACGAGGCTCCCCTCGAAGATACCGCGGTGAGTAGCAGGTCGGTTTGCTCTTCTTTGCTTAAAATAAGCCTATACCACGTTGTGATATGACAATTCCAGGCCCGAAGGCGGGAAAAGACGGTAAGGGCCAGAGTGTTGCAAAGGTCATCTGGGGTGGGACTCATTATGATCCAGCTTGCATAGATAGCAAGTAAACCATATGTGAGGCGGAAGGAAGAAAAAAGGGGCATCTCAACGGAGACGTCGAGTGAAAACACTTATCGAATTCGAAAGAACAGAAATGGGGAATCTAAAGTCATGTCTCATAAAACATTTTTTTTTTCGAATAAGATGATCATATTCCGTAACTAGCATGCCGGTAAGAAACCACGACCGCCGCGAATTTGAATCATTTACTCGGAGGGGACTGCGAAACAGTTAGTGCCAAAGTCTCGGATAATATGGTATATGGGTTGACATACTGTCGATCTCGCCAGCCTTGACGTCGTCGGAGACGTCCTTGGGGCTGCGGCCATCGACCTGGCAACCGACAGAGAAAGCGGTACCGAGGATCTCAAGGACGGTACCCTTGAGCTCCTTAGCAAGAGAGCGGTGGCGCATCTTGCGGGCGATCTCGATGATCTCGTCCAGAGGGATGGACTTGCTGTGCTTGATGTTCTTCTCCTTCTTGCGGTCACGGGGAGGCTCCTTGAGGGCCTTGATGACCAGGGAAGAGGCGGAGGGAACAACGGAGACCGCGGCCTGACGGTTCTGGATGGTCAGGCGGACGGTGACACGGAGACCCTTCTATAATACCCAAAAAGATGCCGTTAGCACTGTAATCTCCTATGCTAGATCCGGACGCTGCGCTTACCCAGTCACCAGTGTTCTTGGCGATATCTTCACCGATCTTCTTGGGGGACAGACCGAGAGGACCAATCTTGGGAGCCAGAGCAGACTGGGCACCGACCTCACCACCAGTCACTCTCAGGTGGCTGGAAAAAAATCATTAGCACCACCGTCAAGATAATGCGCTGAGTAATAAAATCTCCAGGATATGCAACTTACATGATCTTCACCTCATTGGGGTCGAACTTGGGAGCTGCCCAATGGGAGACATATTAGTTCGCCTATTCGATTTCACCAAGGAGATGATACTTACGCATGGCGAGTGCGAAAGGTCGTCAATCGTCCTTGGAAGGTGTCGGGATGGTTGGTACGAAGAAGGAAAGAAAAATGCTGTTGAGGCCGGAAGGTTATTTAGCTGCCGTTGCGCCTGCGCTAAGCGAGACCCAGAAGCGGTAAGTCTGGTAGGGCTCAACCCATGTCTATCACGTGATAAATAGGGACGATAGTTGTCTTCCCGAAGCGGTAACTACTAACTACAACGTACTAGATACGTAGCACTAAATATCAAAATGATGCTCAATGATCCACTTCTTGATCCACTCATATTACGATATTTTGTTTGTATTCAATTGGTGAATCTAGGTAGTTGCTATATTCCAGGGTAACGAACAAAAATCAATAACCGCTAAAGATACAAACGACCCGAGGACTGGCGCAAACCGCCCCTTGCTCTCGTCATGGCCATTACCTCGTTAAATCTAGCTGGTTCCGGAAACAGCAAGCCTAGGGCACAGGGTTAGCAACGGCTTTGATCTCCGGGTTGAACAAGAAATGACTTACTTCATGAGGTGGTCCATGAAAGTCTGCAACGAGACATCATCAGTGAAGATGGTCTGCGACGTCACACCTCCGCCGTATCCTCCTGTCGTGTGGGTGGTAGATGGGTTCAGCTTGGACAAAAGGAAACGAGCCTGGGAGCCACCAGCATCGCAAACGATGAAACGGGGCAGTGGGAAACGGTCGGAAATCAATTCCTGTGTAGACTAGTTAGCGTGTATCTCGACAAGTTCGATATTCCATGGAACGAACCCTAGCGTCTTCCTTTGGTTGCTCAAGGAGCACCTTCAGGTTCTCGTAGCCCTCCTGATCCTGGTAACCAGCCTTCCTCCATTCCGCGATAGTCTCGCCGTGGAAGATCAGGATGTGGAAGAAAGTGTCCAGAAGAAGGATGTGAGCGGGCTGGATAGAAGCCGAATCCAAGAGCACAGGCTGGCTTCCTTCGTGTTCAAGGGAGTAGGAATCCAAAGTTGGCTGAATCATAACAAGAGAGTCGCCAACATCTTCGTGGTTAAGCACATGCCGGTAGAAAGCAGTCTCGTCAGGCGAGTTGTTGAACACCTGCAAGAACTGGCTTCGGCGCAGATGGAACATAAATTGAGGGTAGAGAGTGAAGTTCTTCTCCAACCGGAAAGACGTCGGGTCATCTTTCCGGTAGTCGGCGAAACGAGAGCAAAGTCTGATGAGCATCCGGT